TTTTTAATTTTTTTTCCCTTTCTGTTTCTGATTCAGAAATGAAAGATTCTCTAACAAAATTTCCTCAATATCAAAACTGGTTGATTTTAATGCTAATAAAACTTTACGAACAGCCAAAAGTTGCTCTTTCAAGTAGCAACAATGTTTCTCTCGCGTATATTTCAGAGCTCTTTTCCAAACTCATAAGGATTAGCCGCCAATAAGGCTTAATTGAATAAGGCATAGCTGGAATTTCAAAATTCACAAAGCAGGATCTCTTAACCAGATCCATTAGTTCTGAGTCTGCATCATAGGTGAAACACAGTTTCGCTTGCTTTTCGCTACATTCGATTTATTAAAGTGTGACATATGTACAATACGGTGCGAGGATAAAAGAGTTAGCTTTGTTTATATGTGGTTTTCGTAGTCCTCCGGGTCAATTGTTTGGGTCAGCGCCAAGCTCAGCCCGAGCTGGCGGCTGTGGTGGTGCGTGGCGGCGGTGGTGGGGGGCCACCGTGCTGCGGCGGCTGTCCGGACGGAACGCCAGCCAAGCTAGCCGCCGTGCTCGAGCGATGATGCTGCACCACATCCTGATAGGACGCCACTCGAGCTGTGGCCAATTGCTGTGGGCGAGTCGAAGCAGTCAATGAATATGGCTGGCTAGTGGATCGCCACTGCACTTACCAATACGGCCAGAAGGGTCAGGGCCAGGGCTACGAGCAGATGGAGACGCATGTTGGCAGCTGCGATTCGTTCAGCCAGTGGTGCCGATCTGTGTCGAGGCTGGCGCTTATATGGAGCGCGGCTTTGCAGTGGCAGACGTAATTGCAGCAAGCGCGGCAAACGCAGCAATTAGATCCGCGCATTAAAACCTAATTGAGCTAACGAGCTACGAGTATGTATGCGTGCGTGTGTGAGTGTGAGAGTGCATTTGTTTTTATGTAAAACTAATTCAGTTGTGACTTTGCTTATTCACGCCCCTGCGACGTGCGACACAATTATCATGTGCAGTGGAGCCATCTCTTGCTGAAACGATTTAGCTTTACATTCGTTTTTGCACTTGCGTTTGATATTGACTTTGAATTTGGCTCTGGTTCAGTGCTTCGCACTCGCTGCGCATCACCAATGCCAAATGCCAAACTGAAAGAACATAGCGATGATGAGATGAGCCAAGGAAGTGAAATGAGAACAAGTAATGAGAAGTAGCTTCTCTGCGAGCCACCATACATACACGTCAAACGGACTTTGCTGCCCAGATTCACATTTCGATAATGTTGCCCATATTGCAAAGACTCCTCGGAGCTCTCATCGCTATCCAAATCTGCCCTCTTGAGGAGGACTCGGCCTTGGAATGCGCACAGATGTCATCGGAGGAATTCTTGCGAAACCAACTCGTCTCGGAATCCTTCAGGTTCATGCCATAAAACATTGTTTGACTGTTGCAATTTCTATTTAAATTTTAAAATGTTTGACAATTTCTGAGTAAATCTGCTTTTGTTTCAATTCATCACAAACGACTGTAGATGCTAAAGACATGAGAAAAATAAAATTAGTCAGAAATTTATTTTAATTTTTATTTTCATACATTACACTCTTGCTGATATTAAAATTGTTTATGATTATTAAATTATAAGCAAGCAAGAGCATAGTTTAACTAATTAACTACTAAAACTTTTCTTAGAAAATGTAAAAAATTAAAATAAAATACTAGAAAGTTAATGAACTTATAACAAGAAGCTAGAGCAAATCAGTTTTATAAATAGTCCATTGATTCTTGGCATTTGAATGCGATATTTGGCAAAATATTTGGTATATACGTTTTCAATGTCGATTTATTAATTTTAGAGCAATGCCAGAGGATAATATTTTGTTTTTTTTTTTTTTTTTTTTTTTTTGCTGAATTGCATGTATTCAACAACAAAATTGAATATAAAATGCCTTGAAACAGATATACAATTTTTTCTAGGGACTTTTGGTCCAGTATTCAATTTCCTTACAATCCCTTCTAGACAGCTTTGGTCCATTATCCATCCTAGAGAGTTTTGCTCCATTATCTAAAATTCTCTAGAAGAGATTGTAACAGAATTTCAATAATATTTTTACAATATCAATAGTTGTTTAATCAAACGTATAGTTCCGTCTGACTGCCTGAAAAATAGATGTGAATGCAAACATTTTTTCACGAGCTTCCATTGAGAAATGGGTAGATAGATGGGCTAGCCACAGTTTTCAGTTTTCTGCTTTAGTCATTTATATAGTCCAGTCCCTTATCCAGTCAATATCTAGTAGTACCTGAGCTATCTCATTCTCAATCCAGAGTGTTTGTCTCTGCTTCGATCTACTCTAAGCAGTCTATGCAGAAGTAAGTGCTCTGAAAGCTAGCGCCATCAATAATGATCTATGTAATGTGTAATGCCAAACTAATGAAATGTGGCCGGAGTCAGTGAAGTCATTTGCCAGAGGCTTTTTATAAGCTTTAAGCCAGCGAGAACTGCTTGGGCTTGTCGGCCATTTGATCCACTGTGACGCCTGATGATGATGTTTGATGTTTGCCTTATGCTCCGGCCGGGGGATGGATAAACATAAACGTGTCGAGCATCTTTTATTGCGATTTCTTGATACGAGCTGCCTGAGAAGGTGTGTGAATACACTGAGCAAAATTCAAGTTGAGAAAGTGAGCTTTGATTGGTGATTATTAAAATGCATACAGGAATAGACAGAGATGGCAACAATCTAGTCGAGTTAGAGCTTTTCGAATGTGCCCAAAGTAATTCAGCACATAATCACACACATTTTGTTTGCAGTGTATGATTTGATTGTGTGGCATATGCGGATGGTTGGGCAAGTGTCATGTAACAAAACTTTGACAGATTTGCCACAGGATATCGTGCAAGCAGAGTGTGAGGAAGAGGGGAGGGAGATGGGGAGAGTAAGCAACACATCGAAAAGGAAAAGTCGTAAACTACAACCAAAGATGACGATGATGGAGGGTGAAGCAATACCAAATCGTAAAAGGCCAAGCCAGCAGACAACATTTCAAATAAATATGAAACTCTATGTGTGTGTGTGTGTGTGTGTAGTGGCAGCAGCAGTAGCAGCATTTATTGGATTTTTATGATAAGCAACGACAGGTCGACGACAGTCACTCAAGGCTCCGGCGCGATTTCTCAGATTTTGATTTTGATTTTGATTTTCTTTTTCTGTTTTTGTGTTTGACAACATTTTTGGCTGTTGTTGGAAAGCACTTAGAGGGCAAATTGTTGCTCTTATCGCTAATAAGATGACAAGCAAACAAATACAATAACAACAACAAGAAGAAAGAAGGAAAGAAGACGAGAAACATGTATAGACTGTGCTGCTGGCAGCTGTTATACCTAACTGGAAGCTGGAAGCTGGAAGCATCCTTGCGCCGACTCCTGTCAAATGTCGCCACGCACAATGCAAATCAAATAAACAATAAATTCAGCGACGGACATTGTCGCATGAAACAGATACAATTGCAATGGCCCAATGCCCAGCTAGTGCTCCCACATATACTACCTGACAGCCCTCCCTGGCTTCGCCGCCTGCCCGCCTGCCCGCCTGCAGCCAGCAGACAATGGCGCACACCGGCAGTAAAACGCATGCATATCCTATAAACATTAAGGATATCCTTGAGTAGATGCAATTTTCTAACCAATATAATTCATAAATTTATTTTCAATCCTTTCCGCACATAAATTTTCATATTATGCACACACACACACACATACACACACACTCGCACACACATAGATGAATGCTGCCTGCTCGCTTTGACGTAGGTCTTCGAATGCCCTAGAGTGGTTGTTCAGCTGGGGTATATTGGCTGTTGTGTGAAAGTATTGAAGGGCGTGATTAGATAAGAAAGATGAAAGATATTGAAGAAGGCATATTTTCTTAAACAAGGAGTTCTATACTATATAGTTATTGCTTATTCTTCTCTTCTACGTGTGAGAAAATATCAATTGATTCAGTTGTTGAGCTTGCACTGAAGAGAGTCGAAGATTAAAGCTTTAATTCTTCAATATGACAGATAATTTACTTTTAGTCCAGCTTTTGCATATGTATATATACTTTAACCTTATTAATAAGTATACAAAAGTGTAAGGTAAGTATAAACAGTCGCCTTTTTTTCTTTTTTTTTTTTTTTTTTTTTTGAAGATCTGAATTGATTTCGTTATTGAGTTCAAGCTAGAGAGAGATGGGAATCTATGGAATAGTATTTTTCTACTTTTTTACATCAACTCTCATTTATTCTTATACATGCAACCTTTACCTTTACCTTAGTTGTAGAGCTATGAATTAACACTCTCAGAGCCAGCACACTTCATCTAGAGCTAAAAGTATCGATAATCATATGCTAAGTTCATTTCAATCAGCGCACTCACTCAATGTATTCTGTAGTCATGCATACCCGCTCAAAAATCGTTCTTTGCTGCTTCCTATAGGCCTATTGTATTGCATGTCCTGTGCGTGTATGCCTGTGTGAGTGTGAGCGTGTGTGTCTGTGCATTATTATTTGTCGTCGTGCTTGTCATTATTTATATGGCTAGGCAAGAGATAAGTTGCTGCAACGTTTTGCTGCTAAGGCGCAAGAACAACAACAACAACAGCAACAGCAACAGAGTGCAGCTAAAGCTACAGCTCCTGGCAATTACGCACACACACACACACATACACACAGTTCGATATAACATTGCAGCAGGCATGTCCTTGGGCCTTCTAAGGTTTGTTGGCCCAACATTTTGATTTATAAATGCCAACGCCGACTTCGTCTCCATCTCAGACTCTAACTCTAACTCTAACTCCACCTCCGCCCCCGCCTCCTCCTCCGATTCCTATGCGGAATATGATTCCAATGCTGACTCTGCGGCGCAGTCTGGAGCCCAAGTGCCGAGCCCTGAGTGCTTTCACTGGCGCCGGAAGCTGCAGCTGCTTTTGCTGACTGGCTACAGTGATGCCCCTGCCCCTGTCCTTGCCCCTGCCCCGACCCCTGCCCCATCACCAGCCCCAGCTTGTGAGTGGCCTGTGTGAGGTAGCCCAAGTGGCCATTAATATATCAGTTCAATTCATATTTGAAATTTTGCATATTCTAACACGCCAGTGAGCAGAGCCCAGCATCGTCCTGCCAGTTGCCAGTTGCCAGTTGCCAGTTGCCAGTTAGCAGTTCCCATTGCACACGCATACGATTATGATTTGTGTCTTACTTAATGCACAGACAGATGGGGTCAAGAGGTTGTTGTTCTTGTTGCTGTTTGGCCAGCTTTGGCCAGCACACAATTGGACGGTGGTGCAGACGGACGGACGGGTGGGCGGATGGACGTAGAGAGATGGGCTGGCCATCGTCTCAATCTGATTGATTTAGAATTCCAATTGAGACTGCATGAAATATGTTTGTCTCGTGTCTCTAACTGCCTTCGGGCTGCAACCACTCAGACCTCTCTCCCCCTCTCTTCCTACCTCTCCTTCTGGCATCGACCAAATGTCTTCTGGCTCTTCGGCTGCTGTCGTCTGCTGAATGCTGCTCGAATGCCATTTATGCATGGGCATATCCTTTTGCGAAATTAGCATTTTCCAACAATTGCAGCAGCAGCAGCAGCAACAGCAACAACAACAACAACGACTTATTGGTATTTCATTGATTTATGACACTTGTGAAACAATTTGGAAAATCACAGATTAGCAGGCCAGCCAGGCCAGTCGTCGAGCGGAGTCGAGCCAGCCAGGTGGCTCGTAAGCTGCACTAATTACACCCAACGCTTCATTGGCCCAGCCACCCATTCCATGCGAAATATACATATGCATTGCCCTAGCCTAATATGAACTTTGTCAAAGGAACAGCAGTAGCAGGAG